TGGCGGAACGCCCAAACATTTCTCCAATAACATCCCACCCCGTGCATATCCGTGTACAGCATTCGAAAGTGGTGTGTGGATTCCGGACTGGAACAATGAGAATAAAAATCGTCTAGGTCAGCTTTGTCTGGTAATTTCAGCTTTCAAATCAGCACATCTTTTATGCTTACCAATAATGGGACTTGGTTTGGCGCGGGGGACTTGGGCCCCTTAAGGGTCAATTGGTCCACTCATAATGTGGCCAATCCGCCAAGAACTCACCAGAAGCGTTGTAATCTGCGAAAAGACGCTCCGAACGATTTACATGACGTCAGGCTGAATTATTTATATTTTTAAAATCGTGTTGCATGAGGAAGATTGTAAAAAAGGCCCAATCAAAGCCCTGTACAGCAAAGTCTTACTGTATTATATGCATTGCTCGCTCTTTTTCGAGGGGAGCCCATCGTGCCTCGTTGCCCATACTTCCATGGAGCGTCAGTGGCTGCACATGTCATATTACCGCTCAGGGCCATGGCGCAGCCGGGGAACGAACCCGGGTTCCCCAAGTGAGAACTCTTGGCCATTATGACCCCTGTTGCTCGCTCTGCAGAGCAATAACTACACGTTCTGAAGAGCAAACGCTGCACAGAGAGCGAAGCACTCACTCTCAAGAACCGTGGTTATTAAACAGCGCATGTAAGAAACAGAATATTGAGGGCATCGCTCTTTCTCCTCCCTAACGGCGTCACGACAGCTATGCGAAGGCAAAAAAGTCCTACCGACAGGAGTGCTGTGTTGTTCCTACACAATACTGCTACCGCAAAGCTTCTACAGGCTTTGCTTATACTCGGCATCACTTAAACTGCAGACTTATTCACGTTATGAATGCTACACAACAAACGGTTTACTTCCAAAACATACGTCCGTCATTACGTCTACCGCAAATTATTGGACGGCCATTGCTTATAAGCGGTATTACTAATGCAAAAAGTCATACATCACATAAGTGCTACAAGATTAAATGCACACTGCAAAATCGCATGTCTGTCATTACTTTTGCAGCAAAGACGCATCCAGCACGTTGCAGTACGTACAGTATTTTACTTATACGCAACATTTCTTCTCCTGCAACGGGTAATATGGCATTAGTGCCGCACAACAACACTTCAAAAAGTATTAACAACCTTACATCAGTAACTGATATTCCCTTTATTGATTGCAAAACCTTATAGGTTTTACTCATGCCACTTTTGCCGACACTTATGCGCGACTTTTGTCCTACACGTTACTGGACATACTCGACAATTGATATTGGCCACTACTCACAGGCCAAGTCTCACCATAATTCCAGAAGGAGAGAAGACGTCAGAACACTTGAACGGGTGAAATCAGACTGAAGGTTCCCACTTCGTCGTGTCGATACATTACCGCAGGTGCAAATGATGCGACACACAAACCTACGGCGGCGGTAGTTCTTCGCGGCATTTCTGCTACTGAGAAATTTTATGGTGCAATGTTGCAATGCTGCTTAACAAGTTTAAGGGTTTGACAAGAAAACTGCCAAACTTGCGCCAAAATACATAGAACACGAAACTTGTCCCGACGTAACGCACCCCTGAGACTACATCCTTGGCCTGATGTTCACTGAAACGCAACATTACTTCATATACAACATTACTTCATAATAACAACTTGCATAAGGTTCTGGAACAACACGACGAAACAAGGCTCTAAAAATGCATGCAATTCATAGAAATTCTGTTACTAAAGCTACAGGCCTTAACGGAATTGTCAAGCACGACAAACAAAATACAAAAAAGCATGGCAACACGATGTGATTCTTTCGTGATCACTACAGACAACAATGGGAGTATTGGTTTTACAAAGCCACCTTAGCCCACCCGCCGTCAGACCAGCCCTTTGTCAGCATTTGCAACCTTTCCGCAGACACCAGAACCGACACTCAGACACCTCGTGAGTCAGATGTGGTGTAAAGCAAAGCGCCACAAACGCCGCGAGGCCGAATTTTGCAGTCGCCAGCTGTCGCCAGCTGACGCCAGCTGACTCGACAGACACGCTGCTTCGGCGCACAGCCCGGCAGGCCCGCCGACATGTCGGCGCTCACGTCCGCTGAGAATGTCATGTGCAGCAGCCGAGAGCGAGTCGGACGCACCGCCGGCTGCGTCGGCCGTGTCGCTTCCGACGCTATCGACCGACACGCCGCTCGACTGCCGACATCCTGCGACGGAGAAATCGACCAGCTGCGGTCGGCGCGACCCAAAAAATATAAAAGCATTTGATAGAGAGCTTCGCAGACGGAATTTTCGGCACCTGGTCCAATCGCGGCCCGTGAAGGCTTGAAGCCAGGCCATCCGTAATTCACCCGTTCCAGCGCCGCCGCAGCCAGTACGGTTCAGTCGGGTATCCGACCCAATCAAATCAAATTGCGTACATTTTTTAAAATCTTGTAGGCATTACTACGATTAACATTTTGAACTCACTTCAAAATCCCACACAAAGCACAAAAGAGGATATACTCTACTATTGAACTAGGTGTAAAAAATCAAGTGGATGGCTCCGGATTTAGCAGCCCTATGACCGTTGTTAAGGATTGCACAGACACAGCGCATGCTACGTCTTCGCACATTAAAAAGGCATTGCAAAGGTAATAGCAGCGCGTGAATGCATCGAATAAACGCATGAATGCAATATTTTGACGCGAGGAGTTGGCAGCCAGATTCTGACTAAATGTGCATGCTATTTTTGTAATATCGATTGTAAATGACTAACATTTAATACGCCAGGAGGAAAGGTTTGTGGAGTTTGTGACAGCACAACAATGCGACTATTTTAATTTCGTAACCTTAAAAAGGGTTTGTGTCGCTTTTTGCGATAACTGCGACATCAGATACGTGTAGACGTCAAATTGACGAGTCCCGTGTAACGTTGGACAAACTCTCCTATATTTTTCTATTTTGTGATCCGGCCATCAGATCTGGATATGCCAGGGTGAGTTGCCTTAAACCACGGACTTTCAGGCGGTCGCTTGTAACGAAACAGCACTCACTGCCCCGGGTAAATCCAATCATAGATCATCATTTAACTCTCACCCGGCCTTTCACACCTACGAATGGCTCGCAAGCCATCGCTCGGTCACCAGCGGACTCTTGTGTCGGCTGAGCCGCAGACTAAGCGGCTCACTCGACAATGCCGGTGGGGGGGGGGGGGGGGGGGAGGGGGAGGGGGGGGGCAGGAGCGACTTCGGAATCCATCTTGCGTGTTACAACGTCGCAATCAGGGCAAATTTGTGCTCCAAATGTCTCATCCGTGCCCCCTGTTCCGCCCCATTTAGTTGCTTGAGTTTAATGCTCGGTGTGTCTGGGATGCTCCGGGAGGGCAGTTTTACCTGTGGCTGTTGGTAACTCATACGCGTGTAGCAGACACACAGATAAGTATTGCTTAGCGCCATCAACAACAGTGCTGTGCTACGAAATTCACGGGACCGTGGCAATCTCTCTGAAATATTTCGCCTGGCGTAGCGTCTCGTATTTCGGGCCATTTGGAGGGCGGTATGAAGCCACCGAGTAACCCATGCTTACTGAGGGCTTGATCTCATTGCCATTCGAGAACACAACAAATAAGACTAAGTAAAACACATCGTGCAACTCAGCCTGTACCTTAGAAACGCATTCAAGCCAGCAAACGCCGAACTCTTGCCGTGTCAATGGGACATTCTGTCATATTCTGCCGAAATGTGAGATTCCAAAGCAGCGGCATTATTTGACACACATCCTTCAGTTGAGCACATAACTTCTAAAATACTGTGCTGTTTCAACTAAAAGTTGGTTTCCAGTGACCAAATAAACGCTAGGTACATATGCATAATTGATGCTTTGACGCTGTATGTAAAGAATATATTTGTGTGTATTCGCTCAACATCACGCAAGCATTGTCTTTTTTCTGCAGTGAAACCGCGCAATGGAGCTGCTGGAAGCACCCTGCAGCTTGCAGGCATATACAGCGGACATTTCTGTGAGAACCGCAACCTACCAGGCGCACCTGCTTAGCACCAAGTGGACGCCATTTGCAGCACAGGCCAAGTGATGTGACGTCACACATGAATACTGTTGCCATGGTGATGACACCTTGACATAAGCGCATGCCCCCGCCTCCTTTGGAATAGATAGTGGATGGTGAGGTGGGTTATCGTCCTCTCATGGGTACGGCAGGTGGAGATAAACTGGTGTATTGCGTCAGCACAAAACTTCACAAACGCTATGGCCCGACAATGATCGCACTACATTTGGCTCATGATTTTCCAACACAGACTATTTTACTGAAAGCAGGAAGGCCGTGTTTTGTACTCGAGATCAGTTTTGGTCAAAAGTGGCACTTAGGTTTTGGCCAAATGCCGCACCTGTGGGCCGCTTCCATCCATTAACGTCAGTTCATCTCAAGCCGCTGTGACGTCTGGCTCTAGGATTTGGATCTGTTCTCTTTCCGCACTGCTCAGCTTCATGACAATTTCAAAATCCCGGTTTGCCATGTGCAATGAATGAAGAGATACAATTGTGGCCACACTGCAAAATTGAAAAACATCGATATGACAACCTGCATGGCTCTAAGTATCTCAAAAGCTTAACAGCACAACTTTTAAAGAACGGTGCTTCTTGTTTCTGGGAACAAATACGCGCATTAACACCTTAAAAGTGTGGCCGGCCTAGTCGTGCCGCCGAATCGATAACAATCTTGTTTAGCTGACGTTAAGACTAATTCAGCCCTCAGCCTCGCCCGTAAAACTGTCCTATCTGAAGTTCCGGGATCCCATCGGGATCCTATGTGAAGTTGGCTACAGCAAACTCGTCCATGGCACACACGGTATGCCAGCATGCCATGTCATGTCGACTAAATCACCGCTGTCCGCTACCATTCTTTGCAGTGTATGCTCACGACCAACTGATGTCAAACTCTCCAGTTTTTACACCTCGTCATCGTCAACACTTCAGCCGTTGGCCTCTTACCTGCACCATCCTTGATCTAGATGGGCCGAGTGTGGACCGGCTCTGCAAGATTCGCGGTGGTACCACTCGGTATGCACCACTCGTGTTCACAAATGACGCGCTCAGGTCTCTCGAGCTGCAGCCAGAGCTGGGACTTCTGGCACTTTCAAAGCGGACGGGATTGGAATTCCGACCGGGCTGACCGTAATTCCGAGGCGAAAGTCACGGTACACCAGGGTTGGCGCAAAGCACGTCCCTTCCGATGGTCCCGACGCATGGACTAGAAAAGGCAACGAAAAACTTCACAGGCTGTATAGTACACTAGACAGCACTTGATAGACGCAATGCACTTGTAAATCAAGCATTTCAAGTCACTGCAGTCGCGCGAGGCAGAGCCTTTCCGGAGCCGGAGTGTCCTCGGCGCTCCGCTCAGCTGCTGCACGTGCGGGCAACTGCTGTGGGCTCCTCCGGTGCAGGAGATCGCGGATTTCAGCGCCACGTCACTTTCACCACATTGATGCGGCGCAGCCGCCAAATGGCACGCCCGCGGTATGCTCAAGGTCACAGGGTTAACCAGCTACTTCGGCCGGGACACTCCGCCAACACAACGCTTATCTCAATGTGCATTGGCGCGTTGGTGTTCGATGACGTCAGCTTATGGGAAACCAGTAGCAACAGGATTAAGACACCGGGGATTTAATGCGAATGGACACGAAAAAGTTTCACTGGATATCATCTGTCAAGAAGGATTTGTTGAAAGATTCCCGTACATTTTATATTCACTGTCAATTATATTTTGTTTGCAGAGCACGGTGTGCAATGTTATGCTTAACCTGTCAGGCGCCGGACTAAACAGGCCTGTTAACACAACTTGCCAGCGCCTGAAACTTTTTTGACCCTTCCAAAGCCTTAAAATTCGTGTTCCGTAAACGCGTGCAAAACCCGAATCTGCTTTACCGAACCTTAAAGAAAAAGGTGTCAGTATCGAGTTTGTAACGTTACAGATCTGAGTGCGACACCATAATAAGACATAGGGGAGTAAGAAGGAAACGCCGCACACAACATCTGGGGTCGCTTGGTGCTGCATTTTATCGCTAAAATGGATGCGGGAGCGACGAAACCTTTGGCTGGGAGCCAATTTAGGGCGTAACCCGCGAATAGTCACCCTGTTGCTAAACGTGCAGACTGCTATTTAAGCTCCGACAACTTCGGATTAAATGTGCGATGGTTGAGCACCGTTGTCGGGCAGGCGCAGATCCAGGCTGATGACGACTACGCATCTGGGCGAAGTGGTCTGCGAAAATGCGTGACTTCGATTTGTGTGGGTCAAGGGTACTCGTAGATTTGCCGTAAAATAGACATGCCGTAGCTTTTACTTTTGCAGTTTCCACATGGATGCTCTGAATGCATTAGCAGCTACATCGCACCGGGCAGCCAAGTTTTTAGATGACACCGTTATTTATGTCATCGAATTGCCTCAAAAGACACACCTGGCTAGCTTGGAAAGTACGAACGACGACCGTAAGAGATATGGTGGCCAGTCTCGCTTGTTGAAGTCAGCACCCATTAGTCCAGGGCACTTATTACCTGGAATGTTATGGGAAGGGCTCTCCCCATCCGTTGCACTGCCTCCCCTGCCCACCCCCACCGCTTTCCCTGATCGGTACTTATTCACGCCTGGGCATCGCTGACTCAAACTACCAGACTAGAAGGGTACAACTCCTCACCACGATGCAAGATAATCTGCAATTCGTGATGTGTATTTTATATCTTCTTCGTCAGTACACCTACAGTCGAGCCGGGTGGATTAAAATTTGTGGTCTCATAACGCATGCGCGTAGATCTGAAAGCGTGGAAAATCAAAACTTAGAAGCAACACAAATTTTCTAGATAGGGCGTAAAATTTTATTCAAAAATGATGTCGCCACACTCGGGCGTAAAGGCCTCTCATGCTTCAGCGATTGAGCAATAGCATGGTGCTCAGATCTACGCCTGTGGCTCAGTTGGTGAAGCGCCTGCCCATTCAGCGCCCGTGGCGGGGCGGGTTCGAGTCGCGTGAGGCGTTCGTTATTCGCTACCGGCTGAAATTCCTGCGATCACTGGCGGCGGCCGCGCTTAAGGTCATGTGACGGCAGAGCTCATGTCAAACTGTGCTGGGGATTACAGCACATTAAGCCTTTACCACAAAATCCTACCACGGACGTGGAATTTCGCGAACGGCTGGTGGGTCACGGCTTTCGCGAGGCAAAGAGCCGCTTGGCATGGACACTGATCTCAGAAACCCGTACATTCACAAGGCTCGGACTCAATCTGGAAAAAGAAGATAACAGTGCATTACCGCTTATGCTAGCTTGCTATGCGCTGTTTCGCATTGTGGCTAGTGCCTGCAGTTATCATAACATCCATGACATCGTTGCATTATTTGATATACATGTTACAGTTGATTTAATATATCATACGTAACATTACATTTCATATTACATTGTTACAGTTATTAACTATTATCCTGTAGCAAATGATACATTGTCTGGTCATGGCAACATAATCTGAGAAGAGAAACAAATTTACTTAGTATCAGTGGAGCTAGGGTATTGTTTAAAAAAAACAGCAGGGAGACTGCCAACCGAATTATTGAAAATAGATTGCATTACCCACATAAAGCGATGCGTTCAGAATAGTGAGCGCGCTGTCACGCATTCCGGCGACAGATATGAGAGTGCAAGATTGCACCCTCGCAGCCTTACGGCGTTCGGACTGATTCCATGATTCCGTGATTTTGAAAACCCCGAGAGAGAGAGAGAGAGAGAGAGAGAGAGAGAGAGAGAGAGAGAGAGAGAGAGAGAGAGAGAGAGAGAGAGAGAGAGAGAGAGAGAGAGAGAGAGAGAGAGAGAGAGAGAGAGAGAGAGAGAGAGAGAGAGAGAGAGAGAGAGAGAGAGAGAGAGAGAGAGAGAGAGAGAGAGAGAGAGAGAGAGAGAGAGAGAGAGAGAGAGAGAGAGAGAGAGAGAGAGAGGAGAGAGAAGAGAGAGAGAGAGAGAGAGAGAGAGAGAGAGAGAGAGAGAGAGAGAGAGAGAGAGAGAGAGAGAGAGAGAGAGGAGAGAGAGAGAGAGAGGAGAGAGAGAGAGAGAGAGAGAGAGAGAGAGAGAGAGAGAGAGAGAGAGAGAGAGAGAGAGAGAGAGAGAGAGAGAGAGAGAGAGAGAGAGAGAGAGAGAGAGAGAGAGAGAGAGAGAGAGAGAGAGAGAGAGAGAGAGAGAGAGAGAGAGAGAGAGAGAGAGAGAGAGAGAGAGAGAGAGAGAGAGAGAGAGAGAGAGAAGAGAGAGAGAGAGAGAGAGAGAGAGAGAGAGAGAGAGAGAGAGAGAGGAGAGAAGGAGAGAGAAGAGAGAGAGAGAGAGAGAGAGAAGAGAGGAGAGAGAAGAGAGAGAGAGAGAGAGAGAGAGAGAGATAGGAGAGAGAGAGAGAGAGAGAGAAGAGAGAGAGAGAGAGAGAGAGAGAGAGAGAGAGAGAGAGAGAGAGAGAGAGAGAGAGGAGAGAGAGGAGAGAGAGGGAGAGAGAGAGAGAGAGAGAGAGAGAGAGAGACGTCGCACGAATTTCATCTCCACAATGCCAATGTTGTATTCAAGGTCAAAACATAGATCACCATTGACTCATTCGTATCTGACGTAAGTCAGCATGAGTTGTTGCATCAACGAGCACTAGTTGTGCTTCCACCAGTTCCACGCGTTAAACACAAATCTCGATTAAGAAGGACGCTTTGTGGTGCATGACACAGACATTTGGGCAGTTCCTCTAGTTACGACGAGCATGAGGCTAAGAATTGATTAACTTGCAAGAGGAATCCTAACCGGGAATGCAAAATGAACTAAAACATAGCTTACAACGGGCCAACTGATGTTTGATGCGCCTACACTGGCACCGAGACTGGAGGCAGTCACCAGCGACGTGTTTGCGTTGGGACGCAACAATAGGGCTTCCCGCCTTTCTCGTGTAAACACCGGTGTGCTGAATGTCGTCCTTGTGCATGGAGACACACTTGGCATGCTTCAGCGGATCTTATAGCGCCACGAAACAAATACATGGCATGCGGACGGTGACATGCTGATGTGGCGAGAAAACTGGCTGGAAATGCGTTTGCAAATGTATGATAGGTCGCGACCTATTCAAATAAAGTGCTACAAAAATGATAAAAAGCATGACCCGTCATGACGTCGGCTTCCAAAACATCAGCATGATAACTGTAGTGGTTATCAAGTTCCTCAAGAAAAACCTCAGGGGGGTCTGAAGACCTCTCCATATCGCGTGGGACGTGATGAACCGTATATCTAAAAGCAAATAGTTTCAGGCGGTTTATCCACGGTCGTAGCAGCCACGAGCTCTTTCCGCGAATGGTCTTGCATAACACTTGCATGAACGAAACGGAGATAATAAGATTAATTGGACCTTATGTGCCCGAGCATGCGGTCCTGCCCAGCCGCAGACTCTGCCGCAGACGATCAGACCGAGCCGCAAATCATAAGACGCCTTGGTATGTGATTTTGGAATACCACAGCTTACAAGGCAAAGAGGAGCAAGGAGAGATGGCGTGTGCCGGCTGCGTGCCGCTGGGCACGAAATAAACCTTACAGTTCCGTGCGCGAATGCGTGTGCTGCTTTGCTGCTATTTCACAAGAAAAAGTGACAAGCTACGCTGACCTGAGTACATGCAAAGAAAATAAAGAATTTACCTGAAGATACATGTGGTTCGCTGCGTTCTGCTCGATCCAGATGAGATGCGTCTCACTCGCCGCAGCGGAGACGTCCGCACACATCGAGGTCTGGAACACGAATGATACGCTGTTGATAGACTAACGGAAACTGACGCAGAAATTTCAGACGCTTTCTGTTTTAGCCCTTGTCTAAAGAGAGTTTTCACCGTCTCCCTCTGGACACAATGACACAGGAAGCTCTCCTAAAAATATATTAGATAGGTGTGGCTGAACAATGATGAATGTGACGCTTGCTAGCTCAGATCAGGTCATAGTGGTTGAGCTGGCCTTTTATAAACTCCTCCGCCTGTTATCTCAAGATTTTAGAATCGTACAGCAATGCGAAACACAGCATTTGAACAGTCTTGGAAAATTCTATCAGTTGGGGGCTACTGAACTTTGACACATGCAGCCTGTGATATGTGACGCCAGATCAAAAGAGTAGAGGTCATTTGTTGTTTTGACCTGTCCCACTATATTCAATCGTGTCAATGGAGAACAACGGTGCTTCGACTTTATAACAACAGTGTTGTTCAATGTCGCTTAGCCCAGCATTGACTAGGGAGTGGGGGAGGGCAGGGTCAAATTTGCCCCCCTGCCCAACATCCGCATGATAGATCAAGCGTGAGTGACGTCAGATTGACGTCATGTTACCCGATTTTAGACAAACGTGCACAGCCATTGACAAA